ATTAGTATCTCTTATTTTATTTTAAAATTTGATATTTAATTTATAAAAATATATATTTATAGAGATAAATCTGAAACGGTGCACAAAAAATTTCGGTATCTGATATGTATCGTTTTAGTAACAAAATCGGTATGCATACCAGTACGGTATTAACAACTTTGATTGGACCCTGAGTTGAACTGTTCACCTTCTGTGGGTTGTACATTCAAGCTTTATGGAAATTCTTTTTCCATCCCTCTAATTTACTTGTAAATAATTGCAATATGTTCAAAAGAAAAAAAATGAAGAGGCCTTCACCCATTACTAGGGTTCCTCATTATTTGATGTTAATGTTTAGAAATATAATATAATCAAAATTATAAAATATATTTTTGATATTAATTATTGTAGTACTTACTCTATATTGAATTAATGTTGCTTCATCAAAAAAAAAAAAAATTAATGTTGCAATTAACATTTCTTTACTTTTTTGTCTCATAATATACCTAGAAAATAATACATATTAATCCCAAAATCAATTATCATTAGAAGATTGTGCTTTTAAATTAAAACTACATAAAACTGATATTCATATACACTATTTTCGTACATAAGTATATTTATATATATGATTCATAATTTTGATTTATTGTTGAACAATTGAAGGCAAACCTTTTTTCATGGCATAATCCACCATAATCCACTGTGTGTCATTTAACTTAATCTCAAATTTTCTTAATTCGAGAAAAAGAAAATTGCAGATAAAAATCGCAAAAGTGGTTTGATGTGCACCAATTTGATTTTGGCCTTGGTGGGTACACATTTAATTCAACAACTTCTTAGTCTACACTATGAATATATTATGAGCATCGCTTTCACTTAAAATCATTTTCATAGATATTCAATTCAATTTATAGACGCGTGAACAACATTACATTTTTAATTTAAGAATTTTTTAATTTATATTTTTAGGCATATGTTAAAAATACATTTATTATACATTTTCATCATTAGTTTAAATGAAAAAAATAAAAATTAATTTTAATTTATCAATTATCTAATTAAATTATTTAACATAACATTAATATTGAAAATAAAACTTACTTTCATAATTTTCATAAAAATTAACAATAAAAAGTATAATAAATACACCCTTAATCTCATTTTGAAACAAATGAAAAAAAAAACCTTTTGATTTATATTTGAATTTGATAGTAATTGGATGTGCACCAATTTAATTTTGTCCTTGGTGGGTTGAGATGGTACTCATTTGCTTGAAGAAAAGTTGTCTATACATCTTTTATTCTATGGTGGATCTCATAAGATTTATGCTCTTGTACATGCTTGTCAATTTTGATGCATGCAATATTATCTGTTCAATTAACTCCACAATACATTCACTGTTCATGTGATGAAGTGCAAATTTTAAAAAGTTCATACAATATTAATTGTGTTGTTGGAAAGATATAACTGTGTGACAAAATTATGAGGATAATAAAACTTAAAAATACTGTTGATATATAAGTGGCATCAGTAAGAATGAATGTGATAAGGTCAACAGGTAAGGTGGCATATATATAATATACGGTACCAAGGACATGAGTAATGACATAAAATGGGGACCAAGGACATGAGTAATGACATAAAATGGGGACCTTAATTAGTTATTGTTGTTTTGGTACAATTAGTTATTGTTGTTTTGTTTTAAGAATTTTTTTAATTTATGCCCATAACATTATATTTATTGTATTTTGTATTAATTTATATAAAAATAAAAATTAATTTTAATTTTATTAATTGTATTATAAAAAAAATTTAACATAATATTAATATTAAAAAATATTTTTATAATTTCTTATGTAAATTAATAATAATCAAATTTATTAAATGCACTCTTAACTTACACCTTTAAAAAATAATAGTGAGAGAAAGTTAGGGCCGGGCATTTGAAATTGAACTAACGGGGTTACTTGAAAATTGAACAAGAAAAATGAATAAGAAAAATGAATTTGGTTCGGTTTCAACGGTTTTTAATTTTTATTTTTTTGGTTTTAATATTAACCGAACAAATTTTGATTCGATTTCGATTGAATCTTTTAAAAATCAAAAACCAAAAATAAGTTTCTTGAAAATTGAAATTAAGATAAATATGATAAAATATGTGATAAAATATAATCTATTATTAAAAAAATAATTGAGTAATATTTATTTAGTAAAAACTGAAATCAAACCGATTTTATTAGTAATCAAACCAATCAATTTGTGAAAATTTCAGTTTAGTTTTGATTCTCAAAATTAAAAAAAAAAAAAATTAGTTATTTTGAAACCAATTTTAATTTTAACCGAAACCGGTTTTTGCTCACCCCTAGAGAAAGTTACATGGATTTTAAATCTTTATAATTAAAATGGATGAAAAAATTTTTTACATTTAAAATTTTTATCGGTTGACTTGAAGGCCTTCCCTATTGGCCACTGTTTTTTTTTTTTTTTTTTGGTACATATTGGCCACCGTTATTACTTCCACATAAATTCTCCTTGGGATACGAGTTGCTTAAAGCATTCAATTCTACAAACGTATATGGTGATTCCGGCCTTGTTACGTCGTCTACTTAAAATCCCTGCGTTTTACATTTATGGTGCATACCGGCCCCCTGGCCTCATTCACAACCGGATCACATGCAACAAGGACATACAACTAGTTGAAACAAATTATATTTACAAACTTATGAAATTCATATCTTGAAATTTAAATCAAAGATCCATTTAGTGTGTATATATAAGTTAAGATTTATTTATATATAATTTTTATACATATCACTTATACAAAATTTTAACTATTTTAAATACTATTCATTTATTTACTATGATTAATTGTAATTTTTTATTATAACTTTTTATATATAAAAAGATAATTTTATTTATACTATTCATAACTTAACTCAATAGTTTAAATTAGTAATAAATAAATATTGTTTTACATATCAAACTAAAAAAAATTAATTAACTTAAACACATTAAATCAATATTAAAAATACATCCACTAACAATCTAAATAATTTAGTGATTATTTTTTTTCGTTAAAAATAAAAAATTACGAATTCGAGTCACATAGTATGTACGTGAAATAAAATAAAAAATGTGATATAATTACTTTTCATTATAACAATCAAAATAAAAAAAAAATAAAAATACACCCTTAAAATATCAAAATCGTTGGAGAGAGGCCGGGAGAGTGGCCATCCAATGAAAGGAAGGGGAGTAGATTTGATAGAATATACAAGTACTAGTGTGAAAGCCAGCCCCGAGCCCGCCCAAAATTTTCAACCCACACCTAAGCGCCACATTTTTGTCAATCTAATGGTTGAAAATTCAAAATGACACCGTTAGAATATTATTCTTACTTCATACCTACCGTGCGATTTAAGAATCTTCATACTCATTATAAAATTTTCCTTTGATAAGACTGTCAACTCACATTTTTCCATGATTGCTTCCTCGATTGGCTATCCTAGTTCTAGCTAGCTGATAAATTAATATAGAAT